AAATAAAATTGAAATTGTTATATATCATTTTAGTCTCTAACTTTCAAAACATCAAGATATAGCACATAGAATTTAAATTATATTCTATGAAGATTTTCGGGGCATTACAATCTCCCCTTCTTAAAATATTTTCGTCCTCGAAAATTTACCTTAGCTAATATCAAGCACCCAAATTAAGGATAGAACATGACTTAATACACAATGTCAACTATATGAGGTTTTGATCTAGCCATCGATAAGGTATCACGAATGTCTGTCTTAACTCTCAACACCATCTAGCTGTGTACATTCTTTAGAGCATTCCTTAAATCCACCTCTCATGGACTATAATCCCAAATTATACTTTCTGAAATCAATTATACAGTTTAGGTCGTCCTTGACAAGGAAAAACTCTAAAAGCAAGTGAATCCACCACTAATCTCTCTCTTGATGCAACTCACACAACCCTATACCTACATGTACAAAATTAATATTGTAACCGAAAAACCATAGTTTTTTCTACTGGTAAAAATGTAATTGTCAAACTATGTTAGATCTCTAAAGGAAAGTTTCAATGTTTCATCTTGCTATAAAAGTGTTACCCATTTCTTTTCCCTTCTTTCCATCTTTATCTGATTTTACCCTGTAATCTAGTGTTCCATTTCGCCAGTATTAACCCACGAAAAGGAACTTCCAATAAGAGAGACCAAAGAAAACCCCAAAAAAAATCCAATTTCTGAAAACCATATTTTCACAAACAGCCAGAAATACAATTAAGAAAAAAAAAACCAAAAATCAGAACCCTAATTCTACACAACCTTCTATGCATAAACCCATAATTAATTAATCAATACCAAACTACAAACAGATTATAGGAGGAGTAGTAGTAGTACCGGGAAGAAGTTGGATGTGTTGATCGTAAGAAGCGAGATCTCGTCAACTTTGGGGCGGAAAACAGCTGCCTGTGAGTTGCCGTTGGAGAGCGAGAGGCGATTGTCGCACGGAGAGAGCTGGACGGAATTGTTGTTGTTTAAAAAGAAGGCCGACCTTGAAGCAAACGAGATACCAAATGTGAACCCGTCCTTCCTCTGCACCTTCGTATCGCCACACGGAGAAAATAAAGTATTTGTGTCTGTTCTTGATTCGACGGATAGGAGTAGAGTTGAGAAGATGATGAGGAAGGAAACCGTTGGAATTGAGGATTTCGGAATCGCCATTGATGATTGGGAAATGTTGAGAGTTGGTGCTTGATTTGGTTTTGCTTTGCTGTATGAGGAGTCATGTAAGTGTACAACAGCCGGGGGAGGTAAATGATTAGTTACCCGATAGCCACGTGGTAAAGACTAGGTTGACGCTGTAATTAATCGCTACTCTAAGGCCCTGTTTGCTCCACGTTATTTTTTTCATTCTCATTATTCTACTTATTTTCAACAACACATTTTCAATGAAATAATATTTTTCATCACATCAATAACTTTTTCTTTTTTTTCAACCACATATTCTTCATCACATCAACAGTAAAAATGCATTCTTACCTTCAAAATGTGCACCAAACGGAAGCTAAAATGCGATTTTAAGCATTACACGTCTTACATGAAATTTTGCCACGTGGATTATCAATTATGGAAGTATGTTTTCCAAAATGTCGTACGATAAATGTATTTAAACAAGAAATACCTACTCAAAAAACTTTCAATCATCTTTTTCTCGCATTAACAAGACAAATTTGATCCCCTTCCATTCTTATTCATCTTTTCGACGTTTGAGTCCCGACTTTTCACATCAACTATTCCAATTTCACTTCGAAGAACGTTGATTTCTCATCATTTCTTTCTCTTTTAT